TGAATAATTACAGAATGTCACTTCTTCGTTCCTGCTGTTTTGCTCTGTTGTGCAGATTTGTTACAGCAAAGCTGCCAAGCAGCCTTTGAGCAACAAGATAAAATAAACTGTCCAACAACATAAACACACCCTGACCTTGCACCTGCTTGTTCCTGTAGCAGAAGACAAATGTTAATACTTTGCAGAATTCTACCGACGGAGCAGAAAAAGCAGTTCAGCTCAGTGCGGCTAAATTTAAAAATGGATTAATAATCTGTCTGCAGGTGGATTATTAATCCACCACCTCTTTCTTTGCTTCAACTCCATCGGAAGAAAGCCAGGATAGAAGGTTGGGTCTTCATAGCTGAGAGCCTGATCAGACTGAACCTCTGACAGCAACACATTCACACATCACCATCAACGCTAAAACAGCAAAGTACACACGTGCCGTACGTTGTGAATCATTGACCAGAAGTGGACTCAATAATAAGAGCTGGATCAGCAGAAAAAAGACTCAAACTCACAAAACTGAGGTTTAGGTGTGGTGGTGTCATGAGGAAAAGGCCGCATAAAACAACAAGACCTGATGTGGACTATAAATAACTAGAAGTAAAACGTTCTGGGACAGAATCAGAACCAGGTGTTTACGAACAGGTTCGATGAAGGGGCAGAGGAACGTAGATAACTAAAGTCTGGAAATCTAATAACATCAAAATTAAACAATGAAAACAGACTCTGAAAACCGAACAAGCAACTCCTATCTTAGTTTTGATATGCAAGTGAAACCCAAAAAAATTAGAAAATGGTGCAAAGCTCATTTATTTCAGTAATCCAATTTAGACTGAGAGACCATCTAAAGGCTCAGGATCCCTTTGCAGGTGTTTAGGATTCATTAGCTGATTAGAGTGGGACACTTTGAGTCTAGAATATTGAACCTTTTCAGAATATTGTATCTGAGATTTTGAATGTGGGGTTTTCATATGCTGTAAGCCATAATCAGCACAGTTATAACAAATAAAGACTTGAAATGTCTGGCTTTGAATGTAATGAGTCTGTCTCATTTATTAGTTTCAACTTTTAAGTTGAATCACTGACAAAAATAAAGTTTTGCTCCATAGACCCTTAACTGTGAGTCATCCTGTGTGTGTGTGTGTGTTTGTGTGAATGGGGAGGGTAATCTCATTACGGTGATAGTAGGCTCTCAGATTATTACACAAACACACTTTAATACAGGATGACTCAACCTGCTCTTTCAGCTCAGCTTCGTATGACAACAACAAAGTGAATGTGTGTGCGTACGCGTGTGCATGTGTATTTGTGTTATATTGCACTATAGTGTATAGTATAGGATTACAGTATTTGTCTACATTCACCTGTTAATCTGAGCTCTGCTCTCTCCATGTCCGTGTGTGTGTGTGAGAGAGAGAGAGAGAGACATTCGATGACAGGGTGAGGACCTTAAAGGTGAAGTAAGATCAGGATCAAGTTGCTGCTGTTAGAGAAGGCTTTCTGTCTTTGTGAGGAGCTTGGGGGGGTGTCAGGCTGTTTATTGTTCACGTTTTAACCTCCTGAGACTGGGTGTACTAACAAGGATGTCAGCTTTGCACTATACTCATACCTGCCCGCTTTCAGTAAATAATAATTTATGAATATATATAACAACATGTATTGATAAATAACGTCCATCCATCCATTTTCTGAACCCGCTTGTCCATGCAGGCTCAAGGGGTTAAATATCACTACACTTGTATTTATTTACAATAATACTTAAAGAGCAAGTCACCCCCAAATAAACTTTTTTTTTGCTAATAAACTAAATAAACGAGTGTCTAATCGTGCTGCAGACACGTGTTGTCAATAATTTGACACTTCAGTACATCTTAGTTAAAATTTAAATATTCTGCCTAAAACTGGCAGTGTTGTGCCGTTGTCAGGTAAAAACTCTGCACTGTATTCTAATTTAAATCTGCCACCGCTATTGGCTAAGAGGTATGCTATGATGTCATCTGGTACATTATGATGTCACAATGCTGTTGTGAGCCTGTGTGTGTATTTGTTAGCAGCTCCGCCCTCTCGGTATGCCAGGCAACAGCATTTGCTGCATTTTTCAAACATGAAGTGGGAGTGGAGTTAGAATCTGGTAGGGGTTGACTTGCTCTTTAATGATTTATTATGACATAAAATCTATAGGTTGTCCCTGCATGTGTGTCGTCATGGTGATGACTGGTGAATGTATCCTGAAACAAGCAGTGTGTTGTGCAGTATAAACAATATGTTTTATGTTAGTCATTCAGTGTATTTTGTCACATCACACACCCCTAAGAAGCAGCCTGAGTTGTGTCTTTTCTGTTCTTTTATCTTTGAGCGAGTCAAAGCCGCCTCCGTCCTGCAGCTCTGAGTGTTTCACCCAAACCTCGAGCTGTGTCTGCGGATTAAAGTCCCCGTGCCTGGAACCTGGAAGCAGACGTGTCGGGATGTTTTCTGAACAAAGTGCAGCTTTTCCTCCAGAGAGCAGCAACTGAGTTCCATTAAACAGACAGACTACTGATGATTTCATCAGAGCAGATAAATAACTGGGCAGCAGCATCATTAAAAACTCATCAGCTGTGTGTGTGTGTGTGTGTGTGTGTGTGTGTGTGTGTGTGTGTGTGTGTGTGTGTGTGTGTGCACGTCTCTACATCTTCTGCAGTCAGCAGCCAAATAAATGTGTGTTTTGTGCTCCTTTAACAAGGTTTCAGAGGAATAATTACAGCTAAACAGAGCACTGCCGTGTGCTGCTAGCTGCTCTGTTTTCAACTGGATGATAAAAAGTTGCTCTAGTTAGATTTTTTGACATTAGGAGAGTTTTTCTGCTTCCTAAACCCATCCATCTGTCATGGTCTGCGTCTGCCCCCTCCTTTATGTGTCTCCTGATGTTTCTCCATCCTCTCTAGGTGCCCCTTTTGTGTCTTCTAGTGCCCTAATGTGTCGTGTCTGCATCTTCCACATGTGTCTCCTGGTGTTCCCCATTTGCCCTCTAGGTTTCCCCCCTCAGACATCCCTTTCCCAGGTCCTGTGCTCTCTTGACCCCCTCTTAGCTACGCCCCTGTTGTTTCTTTCTATGGTGTTTTCCTTTAGTGTCAGCTTCCCCTTAGTATATTAGTCATGGTTCATGCTTTCTGGTCTTTTGTTTTTCTCCTAGGCCATTTTCCTTTGTTACAGCCTTTCAGTATTTAGTGTGTTTTTCCCACCTCTGTTTTCTTCCTCCTCCCTGATTAGTCATTGCCTTCACCTGGTCCTCCTCCCACACCCCTGCAGCTCATCTCCCTCTCATCCTCCCTGTGTATTTAAGCCCTGTCTTGTCTCAGTGTCTTGTCGGTCCATTGTGTTTGTATTCTGTCAGCGTTTGTTCGTGCTCTTGGTGAGATTTTGGTGTCCTGTGTCCCAGGACTTTTGTTCCCAGACTTTGGTGCTCTAAATGAGCTTTTGGCGTTCTGTGTCCCAGGACTTTTGGATTTTGGCTCGCTGCCTTATGGATTTATTGTTTTCATCCTGCCAAATAAAGGATTTTTACTTACATCATCTCCTGCCTCGTGTCATCCTGGATTGTTGCATATTTGGGTCCTCCAACACCATATCGTGACACCATCCATCCATCCATCCATCCATCCATTTTCTTTACCTGCTCATCTAGGCAGGGTTGTGGGGGATGCCAATCTCCAGCTGTCTCCAGGCAAGCTGCTTCCTAAACACAAGCATAAAATATTTGTATGTTGACTATGACAGCCTGAATAACTTAAAGTGACACTTTGCAACTTTTTCATATTTTGAAGTCATTTCATCTTGAGCCATTATGTGCTAAAATGACCCTTAACAGTGTTAACGAAAGGCCACCCAGCCCCTACCGCCCCCTGTGGTCAGAATATCTCACTTGCAACTTCAGACTGGCGGGTCAGGTGCAGCGCCAGGTATGTTGGGACATACCTGGCGCTGCAGTCTGCTTCCAGCGTGCTTCCTGCATGTTTTAGATCATGAGAACAGCATTAATCTCCTGCTGGAGGGTGGACTCCTCCAGCATCTTCTCTGTCCTCTGATTTTATTGCTCTTCTGTTTCCTGTTGATTTACACCTTTGTGTGAGGCAGAGGCTTTGTTTGTTAAGGGCAGATAAACCACACATCAGAACTCTCACTGGAACCAGAACAAAAACGCCTGAAACTATTGTTAAATGTCTGAATGAAGATGTGCACACACGGGGACTCACCGAAGACATGAAATATTCAAGAGCTGTCATTTCATATTTCTCTCTGCATCAGTCTCAATGCTTCCCTGTGAATGGAGGTGTGTGTGTGTGTGTGTGTGTGTGTGTGTGTGTGTGTGTGTGTGTGTGTGTGTGTGTGTGTGTGTGTGTGTGACAGCTCACCAGGATTACTTTAGATTTATCCTCCACCTCCCACTGACTCAGTGAGGAGAGATCCAAGATTCAACTTTTTATTCCTGTAACCAAACTTAGATTAGGTTTTATTCTCCCTGTTGGTGGTGATGTCCGTTAATCCTACCGAGAACCAATCTCCTTGGGTGACGATAATAAAACAGAAACAAGCCCCAGTTATAAAAACCAGATGGAGGTTTCAGTCAGTCAAGCGAGTTCCTGATTTGTTTTTATAAAGCTGGATCAGGTGGGACAGAAACATGTCAGGGGTCAGAATCTGATCCTCTACTAAAGGAAAAAGTAAGAAAACTAATAAAAATAAGATGCTGGGACCATTAAGACTAAAACTATTTCCTGTTTGTTTCTGAAACATTCATTTTCCTGCTAAATTTTCTCAGATTTGTTTTTCGTTCCAGATAAATCTGGTGAAGGACGTGTTTTAGTTTCACTGTGTTGATCAGTTTTCTGATGATCTTAAAGTAATTGAGAAATTCCTGCGTGAAGACCCAGAGAGGTTGTGTTTAGTCACATGACCAGCAAACACCTAGTTTTCTTTCTCTTCTGTTGCCTAAATGACAATTGTTGTAAAACCTCCTGGTGTGTTTTCTGCAGGAGATGTGGTGGACATCTACCAGAGGGAGTTCCTGGCTCTGAGGGAGCGCCTCCACTCAGCCGAGCAGGAGAACCTGAGGCGCTCCAAGGAACTGAACCTGGTTCTGGAGGAGATCAAAAGGGCCATTGCTGAGAAGCAGGCACTCCGAGACATCAACCGGACCTGGAGCAGCCTCTCAGGTCAGCTTCATCATGATGATGTAACTGTGTTAACCCAGCCTGCCAAGTCCTGTTTACGGTTGTCCTACCTGGAGTGCCTGTTCTGATCAGGTACCTTTGTGTGTCCTCAGAGGAGACGAGGATGAAGCTGTGGAACGTGAGCAGCAGTAAGAATGTGCTGCAGCTTCCCTCCATCTTTCACCATCTTCCTCACCTCCTGAACCGAGAGGACAGCCTGCAGCCTGCTGTGCACCTCGGTCAGGGCAGAACTGGAGGTAAAAGGACCGATGCAGAACCAGAACAGAGGATTTACTGTAATCACAGAAAAATGTGATATGATGACACTTGGTGGCAAATCCCACAATGAGAGATGCATTTTATGAAAAATCCTAAAATCAGGTTTATGGATGTGGCCACAGTTTCTCAGCTCCTCTATGAACACATCTTGCTGAAAACTGGTTGCCATGCTGAATCCATGCCGGATCACCATGTAGAGGGGATTGTCTGAGAAACTTTCCATCTTCACGTGGGAAAAAAAGTCCTCAGTAGGGTTGAGACAACGAGAGTACGGGGATATGGTGGTGATCTGGTGATGGACCTGAAGTCACGTGGACAGCTCCACAGCCATCCACAGTCCAGAGCTGTCCAGCTACTTTCACTTAAATCTGACCAATAAAATTACTTCTGCTTCTCCTGGCTTGTTTAAAGCCTGCTTCATCCACAAACATCACTTTATGATGATGACCTTCACATTCCAGGACCACCGTCTTGGAGAAGATGAGCAGCCATGTTGAAAAGAGACTCGCTGATTATATGGAGATGTTTTTTCTTTACAAAGTGAACATTGTATCGTCATTATGACACTGAGCACATCCTGTTCCTATCAGAAGGAACCTGCTCCAGTTGTTTTCTGGACATTTGGTGCGACTGACCCATCGTGACCTCCCAGGCTGTGTTGCTTGATTTCAGTGAGGTGGCCTGCTCTCGGGTCAGGGAGTAGCCTTTAGCTAACTTGTCCTCCACCACAGTTAGGTGTTGACAGGTGACTGCTGTCAGATTAAAGTAGTGTAAAACAGCAAAAGAGGCAGCACATTATAGTTCTTACTGTGAAAAATGACAGTTCTTCTGAGATTTGGTGGACATCTTTGTGCCACAAGGTCTAACATCATTGTTCTGACCTCATCAGAAAGTTGGTTGTCAATTGTAGTGTTAAAAATGTCCTTTTTGACCTTTAGTTGTGTTTTTGTTGCTAGCGTTGGTAGAGAAGTCCAGCTGGTGTCAAAAACTGAAATCAATTCATCTGATCAGTTACACCACTGAGTACTGATGTTGGCATTTGTGACCCTAAAGCATCCAGATGGAGCAACAGGATTTGTACCTTCGTCAAAAACCTGCCCTATCCAGTCCTACATGTGTCTACTGCCCTCTGGTGGAGGGTACAGGCAGCACTGTTACATAATTAGATAATAAAACACTGGTTGTTACATTAACATTAACCCATAGTTCCCTTTTAAACATGATTTGTTATTGTTATTTCATATTTCAGGTAAAAGGTTGATCAGTAATATGATCAGATTGATTATGACTTTCTTGTTCTCTGCTTTTTACACCGACCCGACCCCCCCACGATGTAGAACCATTAGCAGCTCCTGAACTGGTCCAGCAGCTTTGCTTATGAGACTCCAGCAGTTCCAGGCTCTTTACTGGATCCTTCAGCCAGGAAAAGACTAGCTGTTGTTTTGGAAAACTCTGTGGAAACGGGTCAGCTGCTCAGCTAGCCTTAGGGCTAGCACTTCAGATTAAGGTTATTTTTGTGACGCTGCCTAATGCATTAGACTCATCCAGGGACTGATGTTCAGCCGGTGGAACACCTGACCTCAGGGGGAACCCACAGCAGGAGGCTAAATGCTGGTGAAACCTGCCCAAACCTTATTAATCACACTTGCACAATTCCGGTGTTCTGCCCAGGGGCCCGGGCTCAACCAGCAGCCTAAAACCAAGCAGAGTGTAACCTCTGAGATGCATCCTGAGTCCCTGCTAGGTTAAAGAGCTCTGGCCTGTAGGGCCGAGTGAGCTCACTGTGTGTGTGTGTGTGTGTGTGTGTGTGTGTGTGTGTGTGTGTGTGTGTGTGTGTGTGTGTGTGTGTGTGTGTGTGTGTGAGCCTTGTTTGCATTTGATTAATCTTGTGAACATTTAAATGTTACATCCCATTCAGGAGTCTGTCTATTTACCAGAAAGGCACCAAACTGGGATCTGTGTATTTTCTGTGAACCTGTCTGTTTCTGTCTACTTTATGTTTCGTCATCGTTTCTATCCTGTGTGGTTCGGCATGATATGATACAGGCAGGGTATTTATGTCTCACACATGCTGAGTTTGTTTATTTTGATGCTGCCTAGTGTAATTACTGTAAACATGTTTAAACCTGACACCTGCTGGCTAAGTCCATTTCAGAAGGTCCGCTGGAGGTTTTAGTCCTTTCTTCTGATGTTCAGTGTGTGTGTGTGTGTGTGTGTGTGTGTGTGTGTGTGTGTGTGTGTGTGTGTGTGTGTGTGTGTGTGTGTGTGTGTGTGTGTGTGTGTGTGTGTGTGTGTGTGTGTGTGTGTGTGTGGGTAGTTTCAATCGTCATGGGGGTTCCCAGTGTGAAGAGGGAGGTCCACTCCTACCTGACCGACACACTCAGCTCTCTGATGTCTGAGCTCAGCCCAGCAGAGAAGGAAGACTGTGTCATTGTCGTCCTGATTGCAGAGGTCAGTGTGTGTGTGTGTGTGTGTGTGTGTGTGTGTGTGTGTGTGTGTGTGTGTGTGTGTGTGTGTGTGTGTGTGTGTGTATGTATGTGTGGGTTCATCAGCAACCTGTTGCCTTTACAAAGTACATGCATCAAAAAGCACTGATAACCATAAAAAAATTATTTTATTTATTTAGAAAATGTTCAATGTTTTTCTATAGTTTTTACGAAGAAGAAGAAGAGATCATTTCTATAGCGCCTCTCAAGATAAGAATCACGAGGCGCTTCACAAAAACAAAAAAAAAATGTAAAAATATTAAAAGCATTTAGAAAATGTTTAAAAATATATTTAAAATGAGCAAAAATAGGCAATTGGGATTAAAAAGAAAAAATGTAAAGAAAGAGAGAGAGTGAATAGGAAAGAGGGAAATCAGTGGATCCTGGGGAAGGTGGAATAGGTGGGGAGAGCAGAATAAAGAGAGAGGTGAAGAAGGTCATACAAAAGCCAGCTTGAACAAGTGAGTCTTCAGCTGCTTTTTAAAGGAGACCACTGAGTCCACTGATCTCAGGCTCAGGGGGAGAGAGTTCCAGAGTCTGGGGGCCACAGCAGCAAATGATCTATCACCTCTGGTCTTTAGCCTGGTGCTGCACAACCAGTAGGCTTTGATCACTGGACCTCAGGGACCTGCTGGGGGTGTAGGGACTAAGAAGATCACCAATGTAAGATGGTGCTTGTTGTCCATGTAAGGCCCTATAGACCAGAACCAGGATCTTGAAATGAACCCTGAAGCTGACTGGCAGCCAGTGAAGCTGGAGGAGAAGCGGGGTGATGTGGGTGTGTTTGGAGGACTTGGTCAGAAGCCGAGCACAGGCATTCTGAACCACCTGTAGACGGTTCAGGGAGGTTCTGCTCAGACACGTGAAAAGAGAGTTACAGTAGTCTAAGCGTGAGGAGATGAAGGTGTGGAGAACTGTCTCAAGTTCAGAGCGGGACAGAATGGGACTCAGCTTAGCAATGTTCCTGAGATGGAAGAAGGAAGAGCCAACAAGAGAACTGACATGAGAATCCAGGGTGAGAGCTGGGTCAAAGGTCACGCCAAGATTCCTGACAGAAGGTTTGGTGTGAGAAGAAAGCTGACCAAGAGAGTCTCTGACTGTGGGAACCAGCTTGTCTGGAGCACAGATGTGGACCTCAGTCTTATCCTCATTCAGCTGTAGAAAGCTCCCAGCCATCCAGGTTTTGATAGAGTCTAAGCAGGTGTGTAACAGCTGCAGCTTAGACATCTCATGGGGCTTAAAGGAGATGTACAGTTGGATGTCATCTGCATAAAGATGGTAGGAGATTCCTTTGAAGGAGCTCAGGATGTGCTGAAGAGGAAGCAGATAGAGGAGGAAGAGCAGAGGCCCCAGCACAGAACCTTGTGGGACACCATGGGTAAGAGAGGTGGTGGAGGACCTAAACTTGTAGACGGCCACAGAAAAGGAGCGCTCAGAGAGATAAGAGGAGAACCACTCCAGAGCAGATCCTGATAGGCCTACCCAGTCTCTCAGCCTCTCCAGTAGCAGGTGATGGTCAACAGTGTCAAAGGCTGCAGTCAGGTCCAGCAGGACCAGAACAGAACAGTCCCCTGCATCACTGTGAGTCAGAAGGTCATTAGAGACCCTAAGATGAGCTGTTTCAGTAGAATGAGCTCTACGAAAACCTGACTGGAAGCTATCATAGATGTTATGTTCATCAAGAGCAGCTGTGAGTTGTTTAGCCACAACCTTTTCCAAGATCTTGGAGATGAACTGAAGTTTAGATGTTGAAGCTTTTTATTATCACTACTTTTCTTTTCCCTGTTTAGTTCATTCCTACATAATCTTATGCAGGATATTAAAACCTAAATATTCATTCTAACAAAGAATATGAAGAGACAAATAATGAAAATCTCATTAGAAAACATTCCTAAATGTATTTTATTTCTTTTGTAGTATCTTTACATGTTATTTCAGTCCCCTACGTTTATACCGCACAGCTGTATTTACTTTAGTCTGTGATCATAATATTCCATAAAGACAGGAAGCAGAAACAAACATTTGATTTTGTCTTTGGAAAACATCCTAAAGAATTCTACCGTGCTGCTTTGGAGAAAGTCCCACTCACATAGAAACCCTCATGGAAAACTTTTAGTATTCCTAAGAAATGAGCTCAGATATCTTCTTTGTGGTTTGAGCCACGCTGAGCTGTGATTTGGACTCAATCTGATCCGTAGAACTTTGTTCTGTTCCCATTGGTCAGTGCAAAGCTCCACCCGCCTGGTACTTCCTAAACGCCAAAACAAACCATACTCTGGGATGAGCTGCTGGAAACACGTGACCTCACGCTGACCTTCAGAACCAAACGGCTGGGTCCCACAGGAACCCTATCTGGTTCTGACTGGACCTGATCAGGGACTGAGCTCTGACATCATAAATTACTCCTGTTATTGATATTTAAGTGTGTGTGTGTGTGTGTGTATGTGTGTGTGTGTGTGTGTGTGTGTGTGTGTGTGTGTGTGTGTGTGTGTGTGTGTGTGTGTGTGTGTGTGTGATGCTGAAAAAACTGAGATTTTTTGTGTCTTCAGGCTGACCATGAATACGCCAGCAGTGTAGCTGACAACCTGAAGCGCCTGTAAGTCCAGATGCATGATTGGATGTTGTTACCATGACCACATACAGCTTCCTCCCTCCTCTCCCTCTCCTCTTCCCTTCTTTCCTTCTTCAACACATTGTTACCTCCACTAACCTTCAGAATTTGAGAAATGTCTGTAGAAGTAAATCCAGCTGTTAGTGAGATTTTGGTTCTGTGACCTTTGAACTCTTGATGGATAACTGCAGTGTGTGTGTGTGTGTGTGTGTGTGTGTGTGTGTGTGTGTGTGTGTGTGTGTGTGTGTGTGTGTGTGTGTGTGTGTGTGTGTGTGTGTGTGTGTGTGTGACTCTCTCCTCATCTCAGTTTCCCAGGAGAGATCCAGGCAGGTCTGCTGGAAGTCGTCTCTCCGTCCATTCACTTCTATCCCGACTTTTCCCGACTCAGAGAATCGTTCGGAGACCCGAAGGAGCGCGTCAGGTCTGTTTTTACGTGACCTTGTTTTGTTTTGTTTCACTTTTTTTCAGTTTGCTCAATAAAAACTCAACAAATTGTAGCAAAGGAGAGCAAGGAGAGAGGCTATAAAACAAATATTAGCAAAACAGTGAATTTTGGGATCCTCTGTTGATGTTTGGATGTTGGACGTCTCTAGTTGTTTGTTTTTGCCTGTTTGGTGTAGATTTTATACTTTTTAAAAAGATTTTCACACTTATTAATTAACGTTTGTGTAGTTTTGTGAATCGTTTATCCATCTGATCAGTTTTTGTTGATATTTTCTGTTTTTTGACTCAGATTTGATCTGATTTACTCTTTAAAGATCTGACGTGAAGTTTTTCTTTATTAACCTGGAGGATTTATGTGTTAGAGATCCAGCTGATGTCCCTTAGCAGGACTTTAACCCCTTGGATTCTGACCCGTAGCTTTGTGGACATGGAGTCGGGACACGACTTGCTGTTCAGGAGGAAAGATGCTTCTGGCTGGGGGAGGATCACGGGACAGAGGGAGAGAGTGGTCTGGTTCTGGTTTAGGAGCAGAAGCTGCAGACTGTTGGAACAAAGTGGGAGACAAGGCTGCTTCTGTGTCAACTTTAGTGTTTTCCAATAAAAACTCTTTTCTCGCTGAATGTTTTCATGCTGCCGAGAGAATAAAAAGGTTATTGAGTCCCAGCTGTAAACCTGCAGCTTTCAGAGCTTTACGACATGTTAAAGACAAAACGAGTCGACTGTGGTGGTCGTCACACGCTACATAAAGTGTTAGGAGGACAGCAGCTCTTTTATTTGAAACCTAATGTGACTTTTTTTTACGAGGTACTCATCTGAACACTTCCTTTCCTGCTTTAAAGGGAAAAGTCTGAATCTTCAGCGGCCCGTTGGCTGGTCTCTTGAGTTGGGAGGTGTTTTATTGGCTAGAAGATTCAAAGGTCAAACATTCTGGTACCAGAACTGAAACTGGGTCAAAATCAGATAAAGTTCAAAGAAACACTGCTTCAGTCCTTCAGAAGGTCTGACAAACTGTTGATCCAGAACCATTGTAGGAACAGGTTTGGACTGAATCAAAAGTTCTGGACCGGATTAGTGGCTTCGGAGTCGACTCGGTAGATTCTGATCTTTAACTCAGAATGAAGGATTTAAATGTTGTGTTTGATTTTCTGTTTTCCTAATGAGACGCTCTGATCTGTTTTCAGGCCTGAGTTCTTTACCCCGTAACTAAGATTTGGTGGATTTTTGTGAATAAAGTGAGATTTTTGGAATAAAACAGTTTTGGATTAAATGATCTGTTAGACTTTTTGGTTTAGTGATTTATTTTTATTAATGTGTTTTCCTACAGCTGTGGAAACACACACACACACACACACACACACACACACACACACACACACACACACACACACTCGAACAAACATGCATGCACACTCTCACAAGCATGTACACACACACACATAAACACACTCATGCGCACTCACACATGCATGCACACGTTAACACACACACGCACAACTGCGCAAACACACACACACACACGTGGACACACACATGGACACACACTCTCATGCACAAACACACACATGCAAGCACATGCACGCACACATGCACACACACATCTGTAGACGATACAGATGAGCTGCTGTAGAAGTAGGAACATCAGTTGCTGATGGCAACAAACAGCTGATTATGTAACAGCTGACTGATGACAAACATTTGGTTTTATCTAAATTAGTGTCTTTTGACTTCTAATGGTTTCATCTCTCTGATGGGAGACTGATGGTTCTCCCTATGTCCCGTTGTAATCTCAGATAATCTCAGATTAATTAGTTTAATCTGGTCTTCCGCTGGTATGTGGAGTAACGAGACAGAAACTAATAACACAGATTCTCCTCCTTTTCCTCAGATGGAGGACGAAGCAGAACCTGGACTACTGTTTCCTTATGATGTACGCTCAGTCCAAAGGAAATTACTATGTCCAGGTAACAAAATCAGCTGTTGTCATCTCTCACCAGGTTTCTGCAGGTCTGTTCAGAGATCATAATGAGAGCAATAAAATGGAAAAAAATCAAAGAAAAATATTCCGATCTTGAAATATTTCGTTAGAGTATATTTCAAAATTAAGATGAATAAAGAATAAATAACTTTTTAAGTTTAAATAATAATATCAAATAACTTCTAATGGAAACAAAACTAACTGCAGGAAAACATTAATGTATTTATTTATATTCACACATGTTTAATCATTTTGGTTTTTATTGTGATTTTTAATTCTTTGCTAGTTTTGCTTTTCCATTTAATTATTTCAGTTGTAGTTTACTCCTCTCATGCATCACAGATATTAGTGTAATAATCACAAAGAAGGAAAGAGAAAGAAGGAAGTTCAGGAAAACCAATTGATGAACGTTGAAAAATTCATACAAAACTAAATTCAGATTATATTTATTTTCTCACCATGAGTGATTACTGTCACTTATAATGCAAAGGGAAATTTAACTGGTCAGAACATTGAAAAGAAATAAATACAGAATGTAAGTGTTGCATATAATGTATTTACATTCATTGATTTAATGAGCCGTAAGTAAAAGCAGCCATCTGTCATGCGTCTCTGTTTCCCAGCTGGAGGACGACATCGTCGCTCGTCCAAACTACTTCACCACCATGAAGAACTTTGCGCTGCAGCAGCCATCAGAGGAATGGATGATCCTGGAGTTCTCTCAGCTCGGCTTCATCGGTCAGTTTCAGCACGGTGTCTCTTATTCACGTTAGTGGAAGTCTGTTCGGCTCGTCTCCTACTGCCGGCTCCTGCAGCAGAGGAGTCCAGACTGGTTTATTTTTGCTGATAAAGGTGGAGCGTTTGCGCTCTGGGGTAAAGAATCATGACCGAGAGTGCAGAAGCAAAGTTTACAGATGAAATTAGCTCAACTTTCTGCTCCTCGTTAGGATGTGCTTCGTCTCCTGAGGATGATGATGAAACTGTTGCTTTGTGAAGAGTCCGACAGTGAAGTTAATCATCACTGTCTCTGTTCTCCTCAAAGCCTAAAACTGCAGAAGAAGGAGAAGGAGTTTTTTTTATATTATGACTCGATAAAGGCAGAGACACAGACCAAACCCCACCTGAGGGGAAAGATCTGGCCTGAGCCTGGACCAGTCTCTCCCGTCAGCTCTGACACAAGATGTATTCGGCCACATATCCTCAAACTAAAACAAGCCGCATCAATAAAAGTGTGACTTTTTAAATACTCCTGAAATATTACAAAGATGAAATAAACCTATTGAATAAAATCTAAATTTGAACCAAAAGAGTCTAAAAGGTTTTAAGTGAGTAATGTGTTCAGTGAGTTCTTGTTGGAATCATGTTCCTAAAATATTTGAGTCATTGATTCATTAACTCAACCAGATGTGTCTGACTGTAGTTTTGTGGGCTGATGCTGGTTTTTGACTCTGGTCTGCTGATGCAGGTTCGGCAGAAAGAACTAAAACGACCAAAGAGGTTTCTGATAAACAAACATGCACATTAACATTCTGTTAAAACAGCTCAGAGTGATTTCAGACTAACAACATATACTATCACTGATGAGTTCTTTGGTGCATCTCTGTATTTTATCCTTTTGTCATTTTTAGCCATTCTTCCCAAAGCTGTTTCATCTTGCTGGTTGGTTTCAAACGTCTATGACGACTCAGCGACTTTTGGGAGAGATGGCTTGCAAATCTTTTGAACTTGTTCAGTCTTCATCGACGCCAGAGTGAGACCCCAAGACTCACACAAGGGAAGGGAATGTGATTTTTTTTTTTTTTACAGGCTGTTGTCACCACTCTCAGCCCAGTGAGATTCTGGGTTCAGGAGGCAGAAAGCGTCACAGCTGGGTGCCACAGCATCATGTAGAACAACATTTAACCTAATGTGACTGAAGCAAAGTGGTTTCTCCGTAACAGATGTTGCACTTCTCTGTGGTTGAGGGGAACACTATGAAGTCAAAGTCCTATTAGTCCTCACACACTGGTGAAATTCATCCCCGCATTTGACCCATCCCTGCGGGGGGCGGTGAGCTGCAGCTGTGGTTGTGCTCAGGAGCTATTTGGTGGTTTAACCCCCCAATCCAACCTCGTAAAGCTGAATGTCAAGCAGGGAGGCATTGGGTCTTTTGTTTGACATGACCGGGATTTGAACCCCGACCTCCCAATGCCAGGGTGGGCATTCTACCAGTAGGCCACTGAAACGGTAATACTTAGTGGTATCCCATCTCCTGGTGTGACCTTTACCTGTTGGTCTTTAATCCAAGGTCACAAGGTCCCTCCTTCAGTTATCATGGATCCTTTTATGTGAACAGATGAGATATTACTATGCTCGAAGCTTCCATTAAACCTGACACACACTTTACCACCAGAGCTGTTAAACAGTAATCAGATTACATTGACGTGAACATCACCAGGTTTCTGTGCCACCGACGCATTTATTCACCCATTTATTGTGTTTGGTCTGGGTGGTGAGGATTTTTCTTCAGTTAGAAGTGATCAGAAACAGGAAGTGAATGCAGATATGTCCTGGTGATTAAAACAGACTCGGGATCAGATGTGAATCTGTTTTTCTTCTAGTCTGATGGCAGCTTGTTGAGCTGCTCACTGTCAGTGGTCTGCTCTGAAATCAGATGTGATGGAGGGATGATGGAGAGGAAGCTGAAGTTGGCAGACACTTGCAGTGAATACAGATGGAGGACCAGAGCATCAAAGCATAGAGCCTGGAGCAACAAGATGTTCACCTCTCAGCTGGATGTCTGTCTGAGCATCACAGCCCTTCTTCCTTCCCCCCCCCCCGGTCCCTGGCTCGGACCCTACGGGTGCTGGGTGACCCCAGGTCCCCTGCGAGCGGTTGCTGTAATGGATTCATTGGTGTTCAGCTGACTGACTGGATTAAATCAGATGAAGACGATTGCTGCAGGCTGTACACATTTTCTAAGTTTAGCTCCAGCTTTTGTTCATGCAGTTCTCCTGAGGCTCTGAACATCCAGCACTCTGGAGGCCAACACGTCCGCACGGATCAGGAAGAACCAGATGAGGACAAGAGGGGAGGCGGAGCTTATCCACGGGTCGTTTAAATGAACTGAAGGGAAAGCGTTTGGGTTTGTTTTCAGAGAAAAAAAGCAGGAATAAAAGATGATTTGGAGAACATCAGCTGGTAGAGATGTTCAGTGAATGATGGAGTTTAGTAAAAACATTCAAACTGAAGGAGAAACATCAGTTTTCAATCTAAAGATTTTTATTCTAAGAACGACAAACGACTTGGTAAATGTAGAATTTCCCTTCTTGTGTAATTTTTCCCCTCTAAACTTGCATTTTTAGGTTCTTTTTAGGAAAGGTTTATTTACCTTGCTGTCAGTTTCGATCACTCCTGCAGTCTTCATCAGAGCTAGCCGCCAATGGTGGTGTCACTTTCTTCTCCATTTATTTTAATTATTATTAAATTATTAAACATCAGAAGAAACACACAGAAGAAATATACAAAAGTTCCCCTCTAAACTGTTTTATTTGTCAAGTGTTTGAGATGGCTGTGTCATCACCTAGCAATGGAACAGACCTTATTTCCCATCCTTTGTTGGTTCGTTCTGATGTTACGAACCTTATTTCCATTCAATTCAAAACAGATTTGAATTGAATGGGATATTAATTAGAATTGAATTTAAAAATAATTTAGAACTGAATGGAATTGAATGGAAATAGAAATATAATTGAATGAAACTGGAATTGAAATAGAACTGAATGGAATTGGAATTATAATTCCATGGAATTGGATTTAAATGGAAATATCATTTGAATTGAATGAAAGGAAATTTTAATTTAAATGGACTGATACTGGATCTGACATAAGATCGTGAGAATGCCTGAGTATCGGGAAAAAGAGGCTCTTTTGGCACACATAACAACAACAGAGCCTCTTATGAGCAGCACAGAAGACTACGTGAAGAACACTCACAGACACCAAATTGAGGAGGGTCTCAAAGAGGTTTCATAGAACTTCTAGACTGATTTGAAACTTGTTGCTAGCTGTTGCAGTTCAGTTTCTGTCTGAAGGTATCTGAAACTTAGTAAAACTTTTGACTTTTGAGATACTCTAAATTTGTATAGATTTACATACTTTGTGATTACATCATCTCCCCACGTTAATCGCCAGTTTTAAAACTTTTCACAAAAGTATCGAACAAAAGGTTCAGTTTCGCTCCGAACGAAGAAAAACAATTATTTATTTTATTTTATTTTTACAAATTTGAGTCTCCACCAGTAAAAGCCCAGTGAGATACTGGGTTTAGTGTTGAACAAGAAAGACCATTTAATCATTAAAAACTTTGGATTTACTGGTTTGATGTTTTCTGTAATGACACCTTTAATCACTGAATTTATTTTTCTCCATTTTTCTACATTTAAATCAGCTTTGTCAAAAATTTAACTACAACTGTTTCACCTGAGATAACAGGAAGTGTTTCTGCCCAACAGGGAGTGTTTTCATCCCAGAGGGTGTCACAACCTGTCCTGTCTCCCCACTCCTTGTCTGTTCATTGTTTTCGTGTCCCGTTTGTTCCTGATTAAAAAAACCTCTAAACGTGCCTGCCTGCCTTCTTCCCCATGTTTGGATCCTCACCTCCGCTCCACTCACCTGCGCACCCATGACAGAGGGGGTGTTTCCTTTTTAACAGGAAGCGTTTTGTCCCCCTAGGTAAGATGTTCAAGTCGTTGGACCTGTCTCTCATCGTGGAGTTCATGCTGATGTTCTATAAGGACAAGCCCATTGACTGGCTGCTGGACCACATCATGTGGGTCAAAGTGTGCAACCCAGAGAAGGATGCTGTGAGTGGCTGTTTTCACTGTGCAAATGTTTTCATCCGGCTCTGCCTAACATATAGAAACACTCCTCTGGTTGCAGGAACAGCATCTCCTGTTTCTGTGAAGATAACTTGATTTGAACCCAATAATGAAGTTATTCAGAGTTTCGGGCTTTAGGGATGTTTCAGATGTTTTCCTTTTTTGTCTGTTTTAGAAACACTGCGACCGTCAGAAGGCCAACCTGAGGATCCGCTTCAAACCATCACTTTTCCAGCATGTTGGGACTCACTCATCTTTAGCTGGAAAGATCCAGAAGCTTAAGGTGAGCTTCATCTTTCTGTCTTCTGACCTAGATGAAAACACCAAATATAAGGCGATAGAGTTTTTCATCTGAACTTAGTGTTGGGTAAGGATGTGTATCGGTGAAATCCTGCAGATACAATACGTATCACGATATGATGGGTTACATTCACCTAGATGATATTAGCAGTTTTTTTAGACTAAATTTATTGTAGGAAAATTCACTAAACAGTCCAAACTGATTCGTAACATGTTTAACATGACATGAGGATACTGATCTGTAATAGAGGGGTTTACATTTCATTGGTGGAAACAAAACCCACTGCACACTACTGCTTTTGAATACTGATATAATATTGCAGGAGAAATATCACGATACACTGCCATATGAATATTTTCTTACATCTCTTGTGTTGTGTGTCTTTTCTGGTCAGTTTGTCTCATTCATCTTATTTTTTAACCATTATGTTGATGTTCATAGGGATTAAAATGTCTTAAAGTGTGTGTGTGTGTGTGTGTGTGCGCGCACACACAACAGGTTAAATGAGGAGAAGCAGAATAAAATGTCGTTCTAGGAGAATAAAACTCACTCTGACAGTTGATGGAATGAAGCCAGAGGTGAAGCGACGTGCTCTCTTCACACTCAGAAATCTAGACAGGTTCCATTTAGTTTCGCGTCAGAAGGTAAAGGTTTCTGAGTGGTTTCACATCCAAAAAGAACATAAAGAAAAAAATGTGCAGGCAGGTAAAAACATTCCTAATAGATGTTATGAAGCCGGTGCAAAGCTGGTAAACCGAGAATAATCCACAGCTGACACGAATCTGACAGAACAAAGAATAGGATTATAGGAAGAAATGATAATCTGTCAGTAAATAAAGGAATCAGACCTCTTTTCATCTGCTGGAGCTGTTTTCCTGACCTGATTTGAAAAGGTGGTGGGAGATTAAGAAATCAGTGAAGAGATAATCAGCTGTTTGTCTGCAGGTTTAAAATGAAAGCACATTTCAAACTATTTGGAATAACTTCACAGCTTATTGCATTATTGAACATTAGATAAAAAGTGATTTGATTTTCATTTATAGTTGATGTGGAACTGATGATATAGTTTTCTCCTGCGAGGTGTTGATTCTGCTTCCATCAGGAAGAAGATTTCTCTCCATCAAACCCAAAACCAGCCAGAACCTTTCACCCATCACAGCATCCTCCTTTCATCTCCACCTCACTTAAATCCACATTTAAAAATGTTTTGTCTTTCTAAATGAGAAGAACCCTTTCCAAGACAAGGTCAAAGGAAAGGTCTGTTTGGATTTTTAAGCGGTTTCCTTGTGAAAGCTGTATTTTTTCAGAAGTTTCAAATAAAATATTTTTAGGGCTACTAAAACAACTCTTGTTTATTGAAAATACTTTAAAATAAAAATGTTTAGATGAAATAAGTTTAGCTTGGGGTTTTGTACAATGTTTTCTCATTATCACAGGTTCTGGTTCTGCTAAGCCTTGTGGATCCTTTTCTCTCGTGGTGTCACAGTCTAGTGGGTTCAGGTCCTGGTTTGCTCCAGCGCAGCATCCCTCACTGATGAAGATTGAGAACCCGAGCGGTTCCAAGCAGCGCTCCACTTAAAGCCTCTGATTACACCGTTAGCAGCGATAGATACCAGCCAGCTGACTGCTGCTGCAATCTGAGCTCATCAGTTAGATATTGATCGAACTGTCGAGGAGCTCTGAGGAGACGGAGCCACAGGGAGCTCCTGGAGGCTAATGCTGCTGGAAACCAGAACCGATTCTGACATCAAACCAGAACAAACAGAATCTGAATTTTTATTTAGTAATAATCATTTATTTACAGACAGTTTTGAAAACCTTCATGTCTGTTGATTACTGAGTATTTAGTTTTTGGGTCTCAGAAGAAGTAAAGAAAAACTCAGAGGACAGAATCAGCTTGCTTCTACGGGAGGTCAGAGTTTTGTCGGTTTGCTGCTCCGGAGCATACAGGTGTGTGTAAACACAATACGGACAGACACCAGCAATGACCTAAGAGAAGCAGCTGTTGCTGGCCATGAACTTGGGAGTGGTCAAAGGTCACTAAGAGTCCATTGTTCTACTGACAGGAAGATTATTCACATTTCAGAAAGCTGCTGATCTTCCAGGAGAGGACTCAGACTCGCAAACCCAGCTCACTCCTCATGCATGGACTCATTTTACTCATTTTCTTTCTGCTCTCAGAAATCTGTTAGACGACCAAATGTAGCAGAACCTCAGTTCTTATCTGTCAGTCAGTTTCTGTAGGAAGTCTGGTTTGGTTTTGTGAAAAGGAAGGGGAAGCTGTGGCGAGCAGAGGTCACACAACATCTGTGACGGGAACAGAAATTCGTTATGGAATGCAGCTAAACCTCTTCCTCTGTTGGAGACTGGCAGAAATCGCACCGGCGACTGTTGATGTAAAGAACTCCACCAGTCTGAACTGTTGGTGTTTCATCTGTGTCTGAAACACACTCAGAACTGTCCAGTGTAGCCAGGTCTGGATCCAGAACCAGATCTGATCAGGGTTTAGATGAAAGCCTCAGCGAGGAGGCATCAGTGGAGAGGAATTGTTCCTGACAGAAATGTGTCAGACTTTATTAAAACATCAGCTCGTGTTCATATGTTTTCACTACGCCTTTGTGACTGAACCCTCTCAGACCATCTAAAGTGATTCTGATTCGTCTGGAGCAGCTGCAGAAAGCTGTCCAAGTCTCTTTGAAGGTCAGATCCTCAGAAATCTCCTTCCAGCAGAGGACCGGATCCTGAAACACTCGGATGAGAAACATTTCTTTCTGTTTTATCATTTATGACCTAAACCTCAGAAGCTTCTTTAATTTGGTTCTGCTCCAGTAGATGTGATGGTTCTGCTCTGATCCGAGAATTTGGTACCACTGGAACATTTAGATGATCTAGTTTCTGCCTGATCTTGCTGTTTTCCAGGATAAGGACTTTGGGAAGCAGACGCTACATAAAGGTCATGCCAACCCGCTGGCAGAGGTCACGACCAGCCTGAAAACATACCAGCACTTCACCCTGGAGAAGGCCTACGCAGGGGAGGACTTCTTCTGGGCCTTCACCCCGGTAGCGGGGGACTTCATCAGGATACGGTTCTTTACGCCGGTCCGCATCGAGAGGTCAGAGCCAGTGCAAAAAACGAGGGGGAGGAGGGGTTTTCAGAAATAAAACCTCAGTTTGCATCTTGGTTTCAGGTTTTTCTTTCGGAGCGGAAACATCGAGCATCCAGGAGACAAACTATTCAACACATCGGTGGAGGTTCTGCCATTCGACGTGAGTTCTGACCAGGCTCCATGTGTCATGAACATTCATTTTAAAACACAAAACCCTGCTTCTTTAGCTGGAGAGAAATCTTTTCAAAAAGAGTTTTTAACTTCTGGGGCAGAATCGTTACATAAACCGTAGGCGTCGGGACCATTATGTCAGAGGGGGGAGCCCCCCCTCACCACACACACACTTTTTAAAATGACGCATTTGGTTCCCCCCACATTTAGTCCACCTTGCAGTCTTTTGATCGTTCTTAAAGACATCCATTCCACTTGATTCAGTAGAAATTACTCAGCCAGCTGAATCTCAATCTATGTTTTCCTGGTTGCCTTGCTCTGGTGCACACACACATGTAGACCGAGGTTGTCGGTAAAGTAAAAAAAAAAAAAAAAAAAAAAGACTGAACCGAAGTGAAACCTCAGTGCAGGCTTGTTGAAGCTGGAGAAGTCACTATCCCACATGTCTGATCCCCCACAGACATGGACATCAGAAGATTTCTCACAAAGAATCATGAAGTAAGTTCAAAAGTCCCACAGGACAGGTTTTAGTGGAGTTAGCTGGCTAGTCAGTGTTATTCATCAGCTAGGCTCTCTGGCTGTTTAAACATTTATTAGTCAGACTGGTTCAGTGGTTCTGATCCAATCTTTTGTTCTTAGTAAAACTAATGTTCCAGATAAACACAATAGCTAAACTGAATTCTGTCACACCTATATTAAATACCTATAATTATATAATATTGTTAGTAAAATGAAGAAAACATCCAGCAATCAGTAATTTTAGTTAATATCTGAACTTACATTTAAACTAGAACTATTTTCATGTCAGCACTCCAGGCTTGTGCTGCAAACCCAAAACACACAAATGGACAATGTGACATAATTTGTCCAACATCTGAAGTGTTTGGTGTGGATAGTAAGAATGTTATTATGGATATCTGGAATATAAAAATTTACTTGGAACAACAGATTCATAGATATCTGGAATACAGTCTGCCCAATAAATGTTGCTTAGTTTTTTTTAAGGATTTGTGTTTGTCTCAGATCGGTGCAGCTGTTGGATATCCTTACACACAATTTCTACTACTAACAAAATACCTGCTGACATCCGTATTTTGACAAGTAATAATACTTTTTGTACTGGGATAAACTATTGCTTTGTGTAAAATAGGAATACAACAAAGAGGCGTGGTTGTTAATTAAATGTTAAAATGATTCATTAAATGAAATTTTAGTCCAAAGCCACCTGCTTGTATTATTGTTATCAACAAGAATAAAATAAACACACAATCAACATTTTATAAAGTTTCTATTTTTTAGTGTTTTAGTATTTTATGCATTAATCAGCTGGAGGTTTGTGGTTAATAAATAGTTATTGAGTTAAGGTTTAGGTGTTTAACAACCTGTGTAAATGCACCAGAATGCAGGAAATTGCATCTACACCAGTTTGACTTTTCTCCCCCCCCCCCCCCCCCATTTTTTATGCTCCGACTTAAAAGCTCTAATTTAATGTTTTATAGCTTTTACATTTTCTCGAGGACTTAAAATTTTAAATCTGATGAACAAAATCTCAGCTTAAAGATTTAACTTGTTCTGTTATTGTGTACATGCAGCTCGTGTTAAAGCAGGAAATATCCAACAAATAACTGAAATGCACCAGAAATAATGCTGATAATCAGTGTGATTGGGCTAAGCGGTGATCAGCCAATCTGAAACAACAGATTTATTTTACACGCCACTGCCAAGCAGCAGAAAAATTACTAGAAGGTTCTGTAATTGTTTGTTGCATAGTTTGTGGCGAATTTCATCTCCAGGATAAAATGTAGTAAAAAGCTGCGTGAATTAGCTGGAGTCCAACTTCTATGTCTCATTTAAAGTTTTAGTGACGTTTCTAGGTCAAAGTGTGTTGAATCAGGAACAGCAGTACCTGTTTACATTCGGTTTTATGGCTTTTCTGTTCATTTTCTTAAATAGTTTTTGGCGTTTTCTTATGCAAATTATATCGCAACAGTGAAAGACACAAAAAGCTACTTTAGTATGTTAAAATCTTGTGATCCATTTAAAATTGTAACAACATTTCTATGTCAAAGCGTATTGATTCAGTAAGCTCTGAAATCTGGAGTGATTTTTGGATGACATCACCATGGTAACGCCAATTAACATTATTGGGTGCCTCCACTGACCGATTTAAAGGATGGGTCGTTTACATCTTACTTATGAACCATAAAATGTGAGATTCCATAGAAATATGAAATATCAATCTGATGGATCTTTGACTATTTTAACCAGAAGATCAGAACTTTTTATTGCAGGGATTGAGCGACACTTCGTATTAACTCCAAGGAAAGACTGAGTCAGGTTTAAAATAGTTAAGAAATTTATTTCTACACAATTTAAACAAGACTAACTTTAAACACTCTGTGTACTGATGAACTAAGGTGGATTGAGACGTGATGAATGATGATGGTGTGTGTGTGGGTGGAATGTTATTCAGAACCAGCAGATCCTGAGAAGCATTTAGTTCAGAGTGGGAGTGAATGTTTCGCTCTAAACTTTAGTAGGAGATTTATAACACACATGAAACGCCATCTGTTGGTCTACGTACCCAGGGGAAGCCTACGTCAGATCCAGAATGCCGAGGTCCTCTTGGACCCTCCTTGGTACCGAAGCCGGTAGAAAAGCAGCGGTGCCGACCAAACTAGTCTTGGAATGCTTGGAGTTTGGATCTTCTGGTTAAAATAGTCAAAGATCCATCAGATTGATATTTCATATTTCTATGGAATCTCACATTTTATGGTTCATAAGTAAGATGTAAACGACCCATCCTTTACACAGGCATCAGCATCATCATCATCAGCCTCGTCTCTAAACTCACCACTTCGTGCTCATTCACACAAGCACGTGGAAAAGTTAGCTTTGTGGATCTGGGATGAATCAGAACCAAAAGGTCAGAGCTGAACAAGAACCAGTGCATCTCTAGATAAACATTAGATAATTAAACCTGGGTCAACAACTTTCCACATCTGACAGCATCATCGGGTGTGTTTTTCCTGACAGGTCTACTTTACTTTAAACAGAGCCTGTTGCTTTATTAAAGCTATTTTAGTGGTTTTTGGAGCCCGTTCCCTTTTTTTTCTCATGCCTGAGCTCCGTTTCTTTTTGGTATCTGTGGAGGCTGAGTGATGGATCTGTGCCCGTTTCTCCTCTGAGAGATGAAGGCTGATTAAAGCTGAGAGTCTCAGCAGGCTGCCAACAGACGCCAAGGAGACGAGGAAGAGGAACTCATGTTGAGATCAGCTAAGCAGAAAAAGAGAGAAAAATCAACCAGCACTTAAAGGAAGTAGTGGGTTGGAGAGAGGAGCAAGGAGGGAGGCTGTTACCATGGTGAAGCTGACCGAGAGCACGGAGTGAGGTGGACCATGGGCTTGATGTGGCTCTGTGGGCTGAATGCATCAAATCCAACCGGTGTCAGGTTTTTATGAAAACAGAGATGAAAGCTGAGGGTCGGGGAATGAAACGTCTCTCTGGGACTCTGCTGCACAAACTTTTGATCTAAACGAAAAATCAAAAGGGACGGGCAGGTGATGAAACATTGTTTAATATTTTAGTTCTGGCTAGAACGCGTGAATGATTCGGGTCCTGTCTGTGCTCTCCAGAACATCCAGGCAGAGAAAGAGGCCTTGACTGAAGGGAGGGAGAAAACACCAAAGTACCATCGGACCGACGATGGATTCATCAGGATCGGTGAGTCCTGACTCAGCAGATCCCATGATGTTCCTGAATGTGCTGGAGTTGAAAGCAGCTGGGTCTCCTGGCAGCAGGTTCAGGTGTTAGTAAAGGTTCATCAGACAGACATCCTTCCTCATCTGCGAGGGAGGGACCTCCGTCACCAACAGGAAATAAAACAAAAGCCCCTCTGACGTCTAATCAGCGCTGATCTGTGCATGCAAACACTCATAAACATGTTAACATGTTTCAAGAAGGCTGCCGCAGACGGCTGAGTCATTCTGAACAGAAAGTTTCTGTAAAGATTCATCTCTAAACCCATCGTCTCTCCACAGGAGATGATGTCAGCAGGTGATGTCACTGTCTCCAGGAAGGATTATTCATGTTTGAAGTTTTAGTTTAAAAACTGTTTTTATCTTTTTTAAGTGGGTCTGTGAACTAAGAGTTAAACAAAAACAATGATAATTCATGTGAATTAATTCAGTGTTTTCTAGAAAACAAAATCACCTTGTTTCATATTATTATGGTCTGGTGACGAGGCCTGGTGGTGACAAACTTTGTTTTTAAATTTATGTTCGTTTACGGTCATGAAGTGGAGGAGGTCTGATCAGATTAGGGACGGAAAGAGAGGAGAGACAGGGACAGACAAAGGGAGGTCGGGACAGACAGCAGCCTGGACAAAGGAGGAGAAAAGATTTAGGGAGTGAAGTCTGGATGGACAGGAGGAGGAGGACAATTGCAGGGAGGACGGATCAGCTCTGCCTCTGTCCTATCATTGTCCTCCCTTTGTTCCCCCTCTGTGTCCTCTCTTTCTCCTCCCTCTGCCCTCTCAGAGATCAAAGTTCTGTTCTTCCTCTAATCAGACTTTAAAAACGGATATCATAGTTTCTGTGTCACATGGTAGCGTTTTCTACCCTGATGTTCCCAGCATGCATCTGTCTTTGACAGTGAACCTGCAGAGTGGGTTGAGTTTTTATGTTCCAGCTGTTTTGTGCAGCTGGATTCTGAGTGGAAGCCCTTTAAGTCCTGCTGCTTTCTGGTGATGCTCTGTGGGATTACATCTGTACCTGGAAGCACCACAGCTGGATCCGTAATCCCAGCAGATAAATCCTCACAGGGATTATGGTGCTGCTGAGGTGCCTCTGAAATAAGACGCCGGTCCGGTCCCGATGGAGGAGAAACTGCAGGGGTCACCTAATGGATAAAAGTAATGGGTCTTAATGACCCATAAATCTGCCCAGAAGGACGACCAATCCCTTAATTACTGCAGGTTCCATCATGACATGAATAATAAATATTTAGCCACAAATCCCTTTAAAAACACACCCAAACTGAACTCGTGGTTCTTTAATCCTCCTGGAGCCATCAGCTGATTTCAGATCATCTGTTAGAGCCGAGTCTCAACAAAAAAGCTGATTTTGAGCTCGGCGAAAACTCTTGATTTGGTTCTTATGAAATTTATAATTATATATTTGCACTTCCCATTGATGTCTTCAAATGTAACCAGAAGTTTGTTAGACTGAGTCATAATTATGATGTTTAAAGTCATACTGATTATGGGCAGCAGTAGCTCAGGAGGTGGAGCGGGTTGTCCAGTAATCGGAGGGTTGCAGGGTCGCAGGGTCAATCCCAGCTCCTGCTAGAGACTGCTGCTGTTGTGTCTTTGGGCAAGACACTTAACCTGCCTTGCCTGCTAGTGGGGGTCAGAGGTATTGGTGGCGCCTGTGCGCGGCGGCTTGCCTCTGTCAGAGCACCCCAGGGCAGCTGTAGCCACATCGTAGCTCATCCCCGCCAGCGTGTGAATGTGTGTGTGAATGTGTGAATGGCTGATTGTGTTGTAAAGCACCCTAGAAGGCGCATTACAAATACAGACCATTTCTGTTTTTATATTTCATAAACATGACTTTCAAACTGAAGCTGC